AGAAAGGCAATCAGCCGAAACAGCTGTAGTGACAAGATTTAAAATAAATTTTGTGAAAGTTTGAAAACAAAGTTTTAGTGTTTTATTGTTACTTTAAATAAATTATTGATACTTAGATACAAGAATTAAGGTTTTAAGACCACGTGGACTAGTTTGTGCACGTGGAATGTTTAATTCTGATCTCCAAAGTTAGTTAATAGTATTATTCATCCATTCATCTATCCTTTGGCTTTACAGTCCAATTTAAGCCTTACCATCTCTCAGCAAACCTCTCCATACGGTCTGAAGCCACTCCTTCTACGATCGACTTCCAACGAGATTTCTTGCATCTTCATCCACATTATCCTCCCATTGCTTTCTATCTATCTTTCTATCTATCTAATTAGCCTTCTTCGGTCCATCTTTGGACATAGGCCTCCCCAATCCTTTTCCATTCTTCTCTGTCTGTCGCAATAGTCATCCATCTAGAGCCCACGTGCTTCTTGATATCATCTGCCCATCTCATTTGGGGCCTTCCTCTGCTTCGTTTATATTCCCACGGTCTCCAACTTATAAGAATTTTGTTCCATCGGTCTTCTTTTTGTCTTATATTGTGTCCGGCAAATCTCCATTTCAATTTTGCAACTTCTTGTCTAACATCCCTCACTTTTGTTTTCTCTCTTATCCACTCGCCATTATCCACATCCACTCTCTTATCCCCATTGCTTTAGTGATCTTTTAATAGGTCTTCTTCTCTGCATTCTTGCATTCAACGGTTTTTTTAGAAGCCTGTTCTCTTCCATCCTTAACATATTTTCTGTTTATTGAAGAATCCATAATACTAGTATATGGGAAATGGGTCAATACTTGCAATTTTAAGTTGTTTTTATTTTTGATTAATAGTAAATTTTGGTCGACCATTGGAGCGCTATGCTGGTGATTCTTTTTATTAGCATATATTTTATAATAATATCTGTTGTGCCACCTGTTCTTAAATATAGGGCCTAGTATTCATCCCACTACCTTTCTTTTGAAAATTTCCATAAAAATCATGAGTCATGTCCATGAGGCAATACTCAAGTTTTACTTCCACATCTCACGATTGTTCGGATTATGGACTTGTAGATTTGTATTTAAGGTCTTTTTTGTACGATTTTAATATCTAGTTCATAGCAAAGTATCCCATATTGGCTTATACGATTATTTGCTAAGCTATGCATCGTCAATGTCGTACTATTTGATGTCGACTCCTAACTGAATAAAGCTATTTTTTTATGTAATGAACTGTCAGATAGAATAGTGTGCTCTCTCCGATCGACTTTGTGCTAGGATATTTGACTTTTCTGTGTTTATTCACAGACTTATTTATTTAGCAAGTGTTTATGATATCTGCTTATGATATTTATATCATCTGTATATGCTGCCAGTTGGACTGATTTATTAATAAGTCTATTGTTCCTTTATTGTGGTGTTTGTCTTACGACGTACTGCAGTGCTAGATTCAACAGTCTTGGTATAAGTCCATCAACGCCAATTTGATTATAAACATATATATTGCTTCAAAATCGGAAACTGGAATATTTTTACCATGTATGTGTCACCCAGAGAGATGTATTATTTTTTTCTCTCTCTCTAATGACTGTACAGACCAAATCAAGCCTTGGCCTTCTTCAAACTATGCCTTGCTGGTCCTACGCCGATCTCTCGAGTCAGTATTTCGCGTACGTGTCCTTCCTTCCACCTTTTCTGTGGCCTTCCTTTTTAAGCCCTTATCTAGGGTTCTTTTGCACTTTGGTCTCATTTCACTCTACTTTCGCCTGATCTACGAGTTTACATTTCTGATCCTTGCCTCTTTGAATAGTTGATAGAGTTCATAGTTGTACCTAGAGTTTATTGCTTTGTTTTCGTTAATAGGTCCAAACATATTACTTAGGACTTACCTTCAAAGACTTACAGCTTTCGTTTTGTGTCTTCTATTATCACCCATATCTTCCATTCATAACATACTATTGGTCTAATAATAGTTTTGTAGACCCTGATTTTCGATATCAAGTTAGTATTTTTGGAGCAGAGCGTATGGACGAGTCAAACGTAAGCTTTGTTTCCCATTTCTACTCTTCTTTGAGTTTTGGGTTTTTCTGTTTTACCTTTATTAAATGCAACCCCCAAATATGTGAAAGTTTTATAGTTTCAATATCGTCTTCAATTTATGTGTACGTCTATTTCCCCTAGCTAGATAAAATATACTTCATTTAATAATACAAGGCAAGATAAATGGAAGAAGGCCAAGTCGAAGAAAAACGTTACGGCATAAAAATCTGAGAGAATAATTTAACAGATCTTCTGCCTCCCTTCTGCGAGCTGCGGTCAATAAAATTAGTATAGCCAATTGGATAACCAAAGCCCGATAATCGAACAGGGCACAAGTAGAAGAATAATTGACCTCATACTACACAGGCTAATTATTTCCATTAATAATTTTCTTCTTTTTTGTTTAATTTAATATCTCAAATCATTTTCCCAGATTTGATGCGAACATATTCTTCTTCTTTATATCCTAATTTGCGCTCTTTGATTGTATGAATAATCTTGCGATTTTTTTCTATTATACGTACATTATTAACATTAGTCACTAAGTCACCCATACAATATTAAGATAGGCCTGTAATACCACATTTCGAAGGCTTCTTTTTAAGCAAGCTTTATAAAACTTTCAACCGCTTATTTCGCATAATAATAAAGAAAATACAGTATATCTGAGTATAGCGATTCTGAGTGGTACATTATGACTCCTGAAGATAGATTTTATTTTGTGAATGGCGATTTTGCCGTTCCTATGCGTTTTTTATTTTCATCCAGTGATCTTTTTGGGTGTCTATATACTGGTACAAAGGTATGTATATTTGTTGAGCTTTTCCCATTAGCTGTTGATTAACAAAAAGTTATGTAATATAGTATTTCGCAGGTAGAAACTATTAAAAATTTCTTCTAGTTTTTTGTTTGCATTAAAATACACTACACACTACATACTACAGTACTGATATCATACATACATAACATTATTGTTTCTGAATCCTTTAACTTGTCCGCAAAAATATTGTGTAAGCATATTTAATATTTAGCAACACCCCCCCAAGGATCATTTTTCTGATATGTTTAGAGTATATTTTAAAAGGCAACTTAGACATAACATACTCTTGTCTTATTCCTCAATTTATTAATTTTATAATTATTATATAATATTTCAATTAGTCACCTAGTCCAATGGCAGTTTGGCTATAGTAAATATTGTAGATTTATCCTCTATTATCTTAAACCGCCCCTTTTGGATGTTTTAAAAGCTCATCGTTTCTTACTTTATTAAATGCTGTTCTTCAGACGTCAGTTGCGACGTCTATATTAACTTTATGGACTACACCAAAGCATTTGACCGTTGTCAATACCAAAAGATCATCCTGATCATCGCCGCCCTACAAAGAGTAGGTATAGAAGAGAAGCACTTTCGAATAATCTCAAATTTATACTGCAATCAGCTTAATCAAGTCAGCGTCAAAAGGCATGTTGAAAGATAATGCCAGGAGTAAGGCAGGGTTGTGTGCTCTCGCCGACTTTTTTTAATATATACATTAAAAAAAAATTTAATAAAGCTCTGTCGAACCTACAGATAAGAATACGAATTAACGGAGAATATAATAAAAATCACTGCTTCGCCAACGATACTGTGCTGCGAGCAATTATACTGTCTAGACAGTCTAGTTGCTCGCAGTCTAGACCTCACAAGATTCCGTTACGCTAATGACAGCGAATAAAGAAACCGGGAGAGTCGACAGATTCAGCTACCTTAGATCTACCCTTAACTCTCAATGTAACCAAGAAATTATGTCAAGAATTTAAGTAACATGATCCACATTTACCGAGATAAGATCCTTACTGAGATGCGGTGACCTAAGTTTAGAGACCAAGATGCGAACAGTGAGATGTTACGCTCTTTCGGTATTACTATAGATAGTCGAAGCCTGGACATTGTCGTAAGCTATTGAGAAGAAAATAGTAGATCATGTTATTATCGTCACAGTCCTACAGCGCCAGAAGTGCTTAACTTAGTGAAGTAAAGTAAGCTTAAGTACTTCGGTCACGTAATGGCGCAACTATGAAAGATATAGCATTCTTTATGTCGTTATAAAGGAAGAACTATTTGGCAAAAAGGGATTGGGGCACCGTCGTATCTCGTAGCTAAAAAACCTCCGACCGACAGTAGTTTGGAATGTCCTTCAAAGAACTGTTATTTCAAAGAAAAATGAACAAAACTATGATAGCATTGATAATTGCCCAAATCCGAACCGGATAAGGCACTAAAGAAGATTTCTAGTCTATAAAACAAAAACATATACATCGCACATGATATACCTCCATCTCTGCATAAGAACTTATAATGCGAGAGAGCCTCTCGTGTACCTAAAGCGTTGAGAGATCCAAATTGTATCCAAATCTGTGACATTTGTCTTAGCATATTTTTTATATTCTGCTGAATGTTACTTAAAAAATATCTTAACCAAGAATTTCATCAGGCTAAGTAGTCTTTGAATGTTTTTGCATTTATTTTTTTCCATAAAAAAGAAATAAGCCAGTTTTGGGAAATTTTATCAAGTCAACTGAGTTTATGTTAAACATAGTTGTTTTATAACTAACTTATAATAATGTTCTATAAAAAAGGCAACTTGCCTATTGACTTAGCAAACCCATGAGCAAAAATAAAGAAACTTTCTTTCTTAGAAAACCATTGAATGACCAACCACTTTCAGTTTTTGTTCGTTAATTTCTTTAGTTTTCTTCCTATATCCTTTAAAATAATATTGTTAAGTGTAAAAATAATAAGTAAAACATTCATGATTGTTTTTTAAATAAATGAAATTAAATATGTTTCTTTTCATTTTTTTTTTATCTTGAAAAATACTTGACTAGTCTTTTTTATCAAACCCATCCAATATGTGGTAACATTTAAACCAACTGTATTGTTTTAGATTTGAAACTGACGACCCAATCAAACGTAATGAAGCCGGAAAAATTCAACAAGTTTCCCAAGAAGAAAGCAACCTCCAAGTAAACGGTGACTTCGCATTTAATTTCCCAGAAGGAGTTTCTTTCCAAACTGTTTTCGTAGCCGATGAACAAGGTTACAGGCCAAAGGTTTCTTTCGGTCAAGCAAGAGTTTAAAAGAGCATTAAAGTTGTAAATAAAGAATTGTGTAAATTTTGTAAAAAAATGTAATATACTAATTAAACAATTTAATAAGAGTGTCATTTCCATTACATAACTTTGCTAATGTTGTCCTTGTTTAATAATTCACGGGATCTAGATCTAGTAAATTTTTTACTATTAAAAAGGTAGACATACAAAGGCGTTATAAAAAATGCCTAAAACAGATCAAAGTCATCATATCTCACCAGAAAGTAGTACTAAACTACTTGTTTGATTCGTAAAAAAATGTTTTATATTAAAGTTAAGTTTTCTATAAACCTTGAAAGAAAAAAGGTTGACGTTTTTAATCTTGTTCATATATGTATATTATTAGCTAAATTTTGCTTAAATTCTATTAACAACTGTAAAATTTCTTACTACTCGATGGCCGAATTAACAAACTACATAACTCACCTTATCCTATTTTTACAGGGGCAATAAAAAACTAATCATCATCATCATCAATGGTGCTACAGCCCTATGAAAGAGCCTCGACCTTCCCAAGTCTATTACGCCAGGCAGTCCTATCCATTGCCAACCGTTGCCAGTTTGCTGCGCCTATCTTTCTACCATCCTCATCTACACCATCCTTCCATCTGAGTTTTGGCCTACCCCTTTTTCTACTTCCCACGGGTTGTGACATAAGGATTCTTCTAGGAGGGTTGTTCTGCTGTGATCTTGCTAGATGTCCTGCCCATCTTAGTCTTCCTATTCTTATAAGAGATACTACGTCTTTACCACCAAATATTTGTTTATATCTGTGGTATACCTCGTAGTTGTATCTCCTCCTCCAAACACCATTTTCACAGATGCCACCAAATATTCCTCTCAGGATCCTTCGTTCAAATATAAGCAGAAGGTCTTCGTCTGCCTTGGAGATGGTCCATGTCTCCGATCCATATGTCAACACTGGCTGTATAAGGGTTTTGTATATGGTTATTTTTGTTTTTTGGCTTAAGTTTCTACTTCTCATATGTCTACTCAGTCCAAAATAGCATCTGTTTGCCATTATTATCCTTCGCTTGATTTCTTCCGTTATGGCGTTCTCTTTGGTGATCAGGGAGCCTAAGTATGTGAATTTGTCCACCACTTCAAAGGTAGAGTTATCAACCGTGAATTGGGGACCGATGTTCCTGACTCTATTGTTGGGTGTTGATGCCATCATCTTAGTTTTCTCCTCATTTACTTGCAGGCCCATAGATTTTGAGGCATTTGAGAAGGTGGTATGCATTTCTTCTAGCTTGCGTGTTGTGCGGTCAACTAGGTCCACATCATCTGCATATGCCAAAATTTGGGATGATTTATTAAAAATATTTCCTCTGTTGTCTATTCGGGCATCTCTGATCGCCTTTTCCAGTGCTATGTTGAAAAGGAGACACGCAGCGCGTCTCCCTGTCGCAGCCCAACATGCATTCCAAACGTCTGTGATTATTCGCCCTGTGTTTCGACTTTGCAAACTACATTACGCATTGTAGCCTTTTTCAAAAAACTTAATAACTTTGAAAAAGTAGGCCTTACTGACTTTGTATTTAAAAAAACACAATCAATATAACACCAATATTAGTAAGATCGTAGGATCTTTTCTTTATATTCTTCTTCTTAAAGTGCCCTCTCCTCAATGGAGGTTGGCTACTACAATTTTATACTCTTCTCTATCTTCAGCTGTTCTTATTAGCTGTTCAAATTTAGCCCTGTCCATTGTCGGATGTTTCTGAGCCACGATAGTCTTTTCCTTCCTAGGCCTCTCTTTCCCTCGATTTTTCCTTTCACTATAAGTTGGGCATATTGGTACTTATTATTTCTCAGTATGTGGCCTAGGTATGATGTTTTCCTAACTTTTACTGTGTTAAAAAGTTCTCTTTCCTTGCCTATTCTATGCAGCAATTCTTCGTTTGAGGTATGCGATGTCCATGAAACTTTGAGTATTCTCCGGTAGATCCACATTTCAAAGGCCTCCAATTTATTTACGGTTGATGTTTTAAGGGTCCACGTTTCAACTGCATATAGAAGAGTCGACCAGACGTAGCATTTTGATAAACGTAGTCAAATTTCGAGTTTTATTCGAGAATCACAAAGCAGTTTTTTTATTTTGTCGAAAGATTTTCTGGCCTGTTCTATTCTCGATCTTATTTCTAGATCAGGATTTAGGCTGCTATCGATCCAACATCCCAGGTACTTAAATCTATTGACCTGTTCTAAAATGTGCCCATTTATTGTGCAAGGTTGAGGTACGTTTTGGTTTTTTCGGATTGACATTTATTTATATAAATATACCTAAAATATTATTCTTTATTGGAGTTAAGTTAGATTTTCCATATTTAGTTACGGAGTTAGGTGGTAAAACTTTAACATGTACGTGGTTTGCAAACTTTCATTTAGTGAATTAAGTGGTTTTAAATCTAATATTCTATTATTCTGAAATATCTTCATTTGACCCAATGTTACAGAATATTATCTACATGGGAGACCTAAAATAAGGACCGTACAACTTGGATTGAAATTATATATTACATTTGTTTTAAAAAAGTTACACAGTTTTGTTACATGTTTTCAGTCTGTCATTGTAGAGTGGTTAAAAGAAAGCTTTAAGGAGTTCTCTAACTTCGTCCTGGTAACTGGTCAAAAATTTATTTTTGTCTTGGGCTTTTCGTTCAGGTTTTCTAGATTCTTTATCAACCTTTTCTCTGCTATCACCATACCACGGTAGTAGTCATCGTTGAAGGACAGTTTGTAGTGTATTTTTCCATTAGCATCATATTTGAAGCATCTAATGTCTATGACTTTGGGGTCCCATTTTCTAATACCACGACGAATTAATTTGAACAGCAATGGTTTCATCATTTTATGGTTCACATTTTATAAATAATGCTATATATTTAGTTTTCTTTTAATTTAAAAATACTTATCATTATTTTACTAATAGGAAATATATATTTTTAGGTACGAATTAAGCGATGGTGTTGAGAGAAGTGAGAAATTAACAATCAACAGAGAGGACAAAAGTGTTCAATTTTCGGGAGAGTACTACTACAGAAATGCCTCTGCTAATGAATTCGTTTACGTTCAATATGACATAGATAATACAAAATTTAAATCATCGGTTGTTTTTGGACAAATTGGGATCAATTTAGGAAAACGAATACCTACGGCTGCAATTGCTTCGTTAACTGGCGGAAACTTTGGTTAAGCGTAGAAATGTTAAAATTATTAATTAGGTGAGAAAGTAAAGCATTAAAAAATACTAAACCTACCAATTTTCTGCAGCAAGATAAAACGCAGTGCAACTTTTTGCATTCGATTTGGGAGTACAATACAAGTTCCAAAGTACATAAAAAATAAAAAAATTGCAATTCCAAATTTGCAATTTGAACCTCGTCTCGTAAAGTATGTTAATTGCATTCTAAATCAGTGGACAGGCATTACTCGGGGTCAGTTTTCAAGGTTAATGAACACAAATATGGTATGTATGTATGTATGTACAGCGTTAACAGGCCTTTTAGGTCCATTGCTGGATGGATAATTTTCATCGTTTTCTATTCTTAGCTAACAGCTTCCAATCTCTGATTCCCATCTCTCTGACATCTTCCATCACTACATCTCTCTATTTCTTTCTTGGTCTTCCTCTCTTTTTTTGTCCTCAGGTACTCTCCAAGCAATATTCTTGACTACTCTATTACCTTGCATTCTTTCTAGATGACCGAGCCATTCTACTTTACGTTTTTTCACCACTTTTGTTATTGTAGGGTTAGCATACAAATGATACACTTCTGCATTAGTTCGTCTTCTCCATTCTCCCTGTACTACTTTTCCACCAAATATTCTGCGAAGTATCTTTCTTTCCCATGCTTCCAATGTATTCTGTATGGTTTTGTTCATAGTCTATGTCTCGGCAGCGTATAGCATTGTGGGTCTAATTATAGTTTTGTATACTCTTATTTTTGTATTACGAGATATATCTTTGGCCTTAATTATTTTGCTCATGACTCCAGCACACCTGTTGCTCTTGGTCAGTCTCAGGTTGATTTCAGTTTATTTCTTACATGTTTGATCAATAAGAGTACCTAAGTACGTATATTCATCCACCTTCTCGAATTCTACAACTGATCCATCGTCCACCTCCAATTTAAAGGATCCCCTGGTGTTTATTTCTTTTTTGCTCTAGATCTCCATGTACTTCGATTTATTAATATTAACTCTCAGTTCCATTTTAGAGCTTTCCCAAATCAGTCTTTTTGTTATATTTGATAGTTCTTTTCCATTTCTAGCAATGAGAACCACATCATCAGCGTATGCTAAGCATTGATGCTCCTTGTGTAAAATAGTTCCGGACCTATTTGTCCCACTAACCCTTACAATTTTTTTTCTAGAACTATATTGAATAGCAATGTAGACAACGGGTCTTCTTGGCGAACACCTTTTTTCACTTCGAAATCTTCTGAGACTGTACCGTTGCATCTCACAGCACAAATGGTTTGTCTAATTGTCATTTTTATCAATCTTATTATTTTTTCTGGCACTTGGAATTCTTTTAGTGTTTCTACTAACTCGTTTCTGTCTATTGTATCGTAGGCAGCTTTGTAATCAATCAAAAGTACTTGTGCTGAAATGTTGTATTCATAGCAATTGATCAGGATTTGTTTTATCATAAAAATTTGATCGGTTGTTGATCTTTCTTTCTAAAATCCTCCCCAGTATTCTCCTAGATCCTTCTCTATATACATTTTTAATCGTTTTTTAATTAGTATGGCGAGTACTTTATAAATTACCTCTAATAAGGATATTCCTCTATAGTTTGCGCATTCAGTTCTATCTCCCTTTTTGTGTATAGGAATTATAATCGACTTATTCCGTTCTCGAGGCATTTCTTCGGCATCCCATACTTCTAGTATTAGCTCACCAAGTTTGTTTATTAAGGCCTCTTCTCCATATTATCACAACAATGTCGCTTTTCCCGGGGCTTTTTCGATTTTTCATATCTTTTATTATTTCTTCAATTTCTTCTCTTGCGGGCTTTGGTATTTCTTCTATTACTATTTGAGGTT